TCAATTACTCTAACAGGAATCAGCCCCTCCGTCTGCAGCAGAAAACCTTCCTCAACGGCCAAACGCACCTCCCCAAAACCCATGTGGGATCTGAAAGCCCGAATAACGCTAGAAGTTTGTGAGACCATTTCTCTTGGGGCCTGAGCGCCCTGTGCCGTGTCTGGGGGCTCCTCTCGGCGATGGGAGGCTGCCGTCAGTGCGATGTTGGAGGGGACCGGGGGCCCTGAAGACGCTCACCGGCCCCGCCGCCGGCCCGGCGCTGCCGAAACGCTCCCGCCGCGAAGCCGCCGCTCTTCTCGGGATAGATGGAGAGCCCCGGAGGGAAAGCAGTACTCGCAGCCTCCTGACCCACGGGCAAGGGACTCCCGGAGAAAACCTCCCTCCTAAAGGGATGCTCTAGCAATAGGGGGGGCGCTCACACCTCTCCCGAACTTCAGCCCCGCGTCCCGGCAGAAACCACCGCCCGCCGGGGCCGCGCACACTCGACGATTCTCGGCCGGTCCCGGGGCGGCAGCCACCGCTGTCCCGGCGCGGTAGCGGCGAGCTCCTCCCGTTCAGTCGCCCCAGCCACTCACCCCATAGCAGCAGGAAGGGAAGCTGCCGCCGGCGGCTGCCCTGCGCCTCCATCCCGGCGAGGGGCCGCGAGGGACAGAGCCCGCATGGGGCGGCCGGTCCGCAGCCGCGCAGGGACCAAGCCCACCTCAGCTCCTCCACCGGGGAGGCTCCTCTTCATGCCTCGGCGACCAGCCTCGGGCGGGAGCGGGGGCGGAGGGGAGCAGCTCCCCCGCCTCCGGGTGCTCCCAGCGCCGGGGGGGGCGGACCCGGCGGCCGGGCGGGGCGCGGGAGGCTGGATAGGCGGGAGTGTGCACGTGTGACTGTTGTGTTTGCGTATGCATGTACACAGGGGGGGCTGTGCCTCCAGCTCCTCCAAAAGCTACGGCAAGGATGCCGCTCCCAATCCAGCGGTCTGGGTGGGTGTTTGGGGGGTAGGCACCTACCCCACTCGGGAGAGGTTCTGGTCCTAAGTGTGCGAGGGGCTCAGTGACTCCTCACTTCCTGCCGTGGGAGCCACAGCAGCCACTCCTCTCTTGTTACAACATCCTGGCAGTGGGGGTGAAGGCATGAGGGGCTGAAGGGACACCTGTGTTAGTCCACCTGCAGCCCTTTCAGTTTGGCTTGCACGGCAGTGACATGTTAGCATGCTCAATATTTACAGCTGAACGTGGACAGCGAGATGGCCTGACTCCACACAGACCCAGAGCAGCTTGGAGCTCTAAGAAGATGCTTAATGTGGTTTTTTATTGCCATTTCATCTTTGCATGGCTCTTTTCAGAGAATGGTTTGGCTCCTGATTTTCATCAATATTTAAAGTCTGTGTTCCTGGAGCTCTCTCTCTAGGCAATTAGCATCTCCGTCAAGAAACACCAGACTGAGAGGCTGCTAAAGAAGGCTTTTCTTAACTAAAAATAATTGTACTGCTCAGTAATAAAGACCCAGAGTGTTTTTCTAGGTACATGGACGCTCCACCAGTAACTACCTTTCAGTAGAACATTAAGTCACTGCCATTATTAAAGGTCAAATGTACCATAAAACTTCAAATTTCAAAAGAGGTTCTCAAGCCATACACAAGAACAAAGGGTATTTTCATGTATCTCAGGTTGTTCCCATTGACTTTGTAGCACAGTGTTTCCAAACACCCAGGACAGAATTATGCACTGCATGTGCCTTCATAAACAAACTATTCAATGCACAACCTTTGTCTGATTTATGCTGTTATCTAGGCTGAAGGAAACGGAAAACTTTGGAAACGACAAGTGTGTTAGTTAGAATGAACCTCCTATCATTTGTGTGCTACTTTTTCTGCTTAGCTGGAAGCAAATCTTGTAAAATGCCATAAATAAACCATAGCTCAGGGAGATCATCCTTCAGTGGAGGAATTGCCATTTCTGCTTTGTAAGGAGTGTTTGCAAGCTGCCCCTGCCAGAAGGAACCCCAGGAAAGTGACAAGCATGAAGGTACATACACCACAGTCTTGTTATACCATCTATAGCATCCTTCCTAACAGTAAGATTTTGATTTCTGTCATAAATTCTGTTACTGGCAAATCTAAAGTTACAATTAGTATTTTCAATAATTTAGACTGATCTTCAGGAGGGTTAGCATGTATTGTGCTTTATACACATTATTATACATTAAAATATTTATGGTATATTATGCAGCATACAGCATACAGGTAATATTTTTTGTAACATACGTGGAGATGATGTTTACAGTTTTCTTCTACATCTTTTGTATTCATTTTCTTCACCTATTTCAAATGAGAAACTGGCAAATTTTAAAAGGGAATGTTACTTTTTCCAGCTCAATATTCCACAAGCACTTCCCATTTTGTGCTTGCAGCACGTAGTTTGAAGGTGCTTTTTAAATTAGTCCACTTAACTATAAATTTTATCCATAAACTTACCTATAAATTTATAGGTAAGTGGCCTAATTCAACATGTTGCATTGGATCACAAGCCAACTATGCTAGATGATATCAGCAGCAAAGTGGTCTACAGTGAGCAGTCTGATTCACAGGTGTATTTGAACAAAACTCTCACAGCATTAGAACTGTCAGGAACATGGTTCAAAACTCAACAGGAGTTGGTGCCCACTCCCCCCTACTCCCCGCTACCATTGAAGTGATTCAAACAGATGCACTTCAGAATGATCATGAACCTTTTTGTTCTGCAAATCTGCCTTGGTAACATCATGTATCTACACCAGAAGTAGAAATCCAATTCACTTTCAAATAAGTGATGTTGTAAATGCCATTTGCTGTACAAAACTCTGAATCCGATCCCTAAACAACACACACTAACAGTGACCTCAAAACCATGGTCTGCTGTAATTTCCAGACGTACAACCTCCAGAGATCACACTAACTCCTTTTCAGGTACCCTGAAGACACTGCTGCAATCACATTGCTTCAGAAATTGTTCTGAAATGCTTAAATATGCTAATTAGCCACTGACTAAAAGAAAATATAGCAATAGACATGTCTGTAGCTGTTTCAGTATGGGAAGGTTCATGAGGAGTGTGAGGTGAGAAGAGATGGAAGAAGTCAAGCCACCCAGGAAAGGTATTAGTGCAAGTGCTACAGTGTTCAGGGTGGTGCAAGATAAGGCGATAAAGTTTCCTGCTCCAGAGGTTAAACTGATCCAACAGAAACTAAAAAAATAAAAAAATAATAAAATAAATTAGGAAAAAAACAAAGATGACACTATGGAAAGCAACATTGCCTTTCCTTGTCACCTCAAGTGTTGGCCCAAAGAGAGCAGCTGCTTGCCTGCATGGAGAGACTGCTCAGTGTTGGATGGAAAGTTTTCTTCATCTCTTCCTAGTATGGCAATTTTGTAGAAAAGGTACATTAAGGTTTTAAGACGATGTTTTAATGGGATTGCTTGCTGGACTTAGGTTTGAAAAAGTAGGTTCAGTTCATCTGCGGTTTTAAGCTAAAGTAGGTCATCTTTCCCATTCAGTACTCCTAAGAGTATGTCTTTCCTGCTCCAGAAAAAAAAAAAAAGGGGGGGGAGGGGGGAGGAGGGGATCTGCAGGTCATTAAAATAATTCTTATCTTTTTACCTTCAGTATAAGAAGTGTAAAAACATGCTAAAAAACCTCAAAACCATAGTTAAAAAATAGCTTCCTCCTGTGATTCAAAGGCCACACTGTGGTATATTGACTGCACATAACAGCCAAATTGATGTAAAATCAGTCAAATTTGATGAACTGAAACCCTTTATGCCTGTATTACCTGAATTGAAGGCAGAGAAAAAAGGACATTTTTGTATGTAAAGACCTTGGGCTTTTTTACATAAGAGCAAACAGGGAAGCTCACGAATATCTTGCCAGCCTTCTAAAATTTAATTTTTTAAGCCATATGTGAATGTGCTTTGTGATTTCAGCAGGGTTTCCATGTTCAGAGCAAAGCATCTAAGCAGTGTGCACATGTGCCAAAGTGCACTCTATTTCAGAGGTGCCAAGCTGTAAGTATTTATCACCTCTAAGACCATTTTATTTTACATACCTAGCCATGACATGACAGCCTTCCCAGGAGCACAGCATGTGGGCTTTGTTTGAAGGAAGCAGAATATTCAATTACTTTGTTTCCATACTGGTTTCTAGTACGGCAAATTATCTTCATTAAAAAAAAAAAAAAAATCAAGGTACTTCTATATCATGCACCATCAACACCAATACCTACAACTAATCAAAATTATTCCACAAGTGTCACAAAGCACATCAAGGGAAACCAGACAGATTTTATGGGATGATGGCAAACACCATCTTCCCTCTCTCTTGAGGGAAGCACCCCAGTCAAGGGTCCTCCACCAAGATGTCTGCCCCTTGTTTTAGAGCCAGCAGTGCAAAAGGCTCTCATTAAAGGACCCAAGCAAGAATCTGTAGGAACTGGGATGTCTTGCTGATTCCTATCTGTTGTTCTCGTACCAAAAGAGTATCCCAAGGCCACTGGTGACTATATGTCATGCACGTCATAATCTTCTCTTCCTGTTGTGCACAGCTATTCTTTTTCCACACCAGCCAAAGCTTTGGTGTAACAGAAAACCTTTGTAATTTGGCCCAGGGGTTGGAAACAAATCATGCCTTCATTTTAAATGTAAACATTAGCAAAATGCACACAATGCTCTATTCCTTCTAGACTAAATAAAACCAAAACTAATTTATGAGTTTTTAAACACTTCACTGTCAGTTAGTGTTCTAGGGGCCTTGACTTTTTATTCCAAAATAATTTAGTTTTTCATGACAGGCTGGCTGAACAGTTTGGAAAATGCCAGCAAGGAATATACAGACTGTCTCCCATACATGGTTGTGTCTCTAAGAAATAACTCAGCTTTGAAAGTCAGGGAGAAAGGTACAAAAAGAGAGATGGAAATACACATCTTTATTTGTTTCCTTGTAGAAATAATAACACTGTTTAAGTTATTTTCATACAAAATCTTACAGAGTTGAAGTCTGAGATATTATAGGATTGTGTTACCAGTAGTCTTACAGCCACCTGAAGGATCATTTTATAACCATTGGAATTCAGCTGACTCCACAGAGATTGGTGAGACAGCAACATAAACCCACCTACAACAGAAAGCAGCAAAGCCTATTTGAATTCAGTCTGAGCCCAGGACTTCTGAATCCACATGTAGGTTCTGATCAGTTCAGTTATGAACCAACATGTCCTTACCATGAAAACAGAATAATGGTCCTTCCCAGATGCATGAAAGACTGGCTTTAGGGCTGAGCAAGACAGGTCCTAGGACACTTCTTAAATGAGAAATCCCATAAATTTCCATTCCGTGGAAAAATGCAGCACTATATAAGATGGAAAATATTACCATAGTAAATAAAATGTTATTTGGTGGCACAAAATGAGTGCAATACATAACATTTCTAATTATCCAGTCTTAATTTCTAGTATAGTTGTCCTTCTAAAGTAAAACAGAAAATAAAAAAAAAAAAAAAAAAAAAACCAAAAAAAACAACCAAACCCACAACATTTTAATTAAGGCTGAGTTCAACTCACTGTTGCATTCACACAGTTAGATTTCTACCATAATAAATCATTCTATTTTAATCTTGTCATCTTTACAGCCCCAAGGCAACCCCAGTTCATGGACAGACCACTTACACCTCTTTCACAGACACATTTCACAGCATGTGCTACAAATCACGTAAATTGTGAAAGCAGGCACAAATATTGCCTCGCAGTGTTTTACTTGGCCAATTTCCCTTGGAGTGCCATGGCACAGAGCCCCAGCTTCCATTACTCGAGGAGAAGACCTAGAGAGCTCTCCCCAGTGTCATGCATTCACTTTACTAGTACTACCTCCCTTTCCCCTGACTGAAACAAAATGCACAGTAAATATGAGACATTTGTAGAAAATTCATTGGCAGTGTGCCTAAAGCACATCACTGATTGTCACTGCCACTGAAAAATGGGAAGGGAGGAAAGAAAGGTGATGTGTCAGAAAATACCTTTGCTTGTGTTTTCTGTCTCTGTCATAGATCTGTCCAGGGATCTCAAATGTTCATAAGGGTTTTTTCACCCTTTGATCAAATACTTTTATAAGTCTTGGGATTGCTTCCAAATAACTTCAGTAAAGGAGACCAGTTATTTCCCCCATATAGGAATGAAACTATGAATGGATCAGTTGAAGGTTTAATTGAGTTTATTGCACTTACAGAAATGACAGCATCTGCTTGGGTTCTACTAACCTCAAATGACAGAGAATATCTCAGTGTGCCAAGTGACCACAACTCTCATTTGAGAAAATGTGTCTCAAACATCTGGAGCAGCACAAAAATAAGAACAGGACATGGATGGGAACAGTGGGTTGAAGATTTATCTTGGTAGCACTCACTCTCTTTGCCCTGTATCAAACAGCAGTGTATGCAGCAGAGATGGGTGTGCTCAATTTGTGATTCACTGAGAATTAACCTAAATTTTAAGGAAATTCCTGCTATTACTAAGAAAAGTAAACTGTGTGTTTATGCATTAGTTAACACGGAATATCTCCCCTCAAATGAAAGTATAAAATACAGACAGAAAGAAATATTATCTTTTAAAATGTTTAACTTTATGAAAGGTTTTATTCTTCATAAATTTACCTTTAACAGAACATCTAGCCCTTCATATTTAAACAAATTGCTGTAAAAATATCTCACTGTTTTTGACTCTAATAGTAAAGTGCTCTGCATCTCATGGAATTACCAGTGAAATCCTACTTGGGATTTCTTACCATCAATTCCTTTTGTTTTAAATTTAGAAAAGATCAGAAACAACAAAATGAGATAACAATAGTTACCATAACAAGTCAAATTTACCAGATACTAAATTTTTCCATGGAAGGGAAGTGAACAACTAATACAGATGAACAAAAGTGCTTTAAATAATCTAGATTAACTGAGATAGGCAATTATTTTGTTGGTAGATACAGATATAAAATATTCCAAAGGTGAGCTATCTTTACCTTTGCCTCCAGAGATTTCTAAATCAGAGGAAGGATGTGAGTAAGTGGATGACAGGCAGAGCAGGTGGTGTACCACTGGCACACGTGCATACTTGGCTTTTCCAACTACTATATCAGCTGGCTGATTAATTAGTTGCAGCTCAATGATTTCAGGTGGAATTACTGCTTGATTCTAGCAAGCATAGTACAGTGCTTCATAGTACAGTGGAAGAAGTGAGAGCTATCAGAAAATATGAAATCTCCCCCAGCCCAAAAGCAAAACCAAGACTTAAAGTTCACATCCATCAAAGCTTCAAATAAATATGACTTTCAAAAACAACTCCAAACAGAAAAGCCCAAAATAAAAACATAATTATAATTACCCAAAAGTGCTTAAAGCACATGTTGGGAGAAAAAAAACTATAAATATTTAATCAAAAACAAAAAACCTGTTCACACCGTAAATTAGGCAACTACTTTTAAAAGATTATATTACCTCCAAATAGTTTAAATTTGTTCTGTCTTCTGCACATATATCTCAGCTCTTCCTCTGTTGGAACCAACTTTGTTCATTTTTTTTTCTACTCTTCAGAACATTGCTATTCTAATTCTGAATAAAGTAAAGGCGTATGACTGAGCTTGTGAGAAAAATTGCATTCATCTGTTGAGATATAAATTCCATCTCTTAAATTAATAAATTTCCTTTACCAGATTTCTTGTAATATTTCTTCCTTTCTGGAAGAAATAAATAAAAAGATCTGGCCTGGTTTGGGCTAGGATAGAGTTAATTTTCTTCTTCATAGCTGGTGCAGTGCTGTGTGAGACTCAGTGTGAGACTCATGTTGGTAAGACACTGATGGTTTAACTGTTGCTCAACAGTGCTTACCCTGAGCCAAGGACTTTTCAATTTCCCATGTTCCATCAGTTAGGAGGTGAACAGGAAGCTGGACATGGAAACATGTCCAGGACAGCTGACCTGCTGGCCAAAGGGATATCCCATACAATAGAGCATCATGCCCAGTATATAAACTGGGAGGAGTTGGCTGGGAGGGGCTGATTGCTCCTGGGGGAAGGGCTGGCCTTCAGGTGGTGAGCAATGGTACTATGCATCAGTTGTTTATTTTGGGGTTTATTGCTCTCTGTCTCTTTTTTCTATCACAGTTGTCATTATCATTAGTTGTAGTAATAGTATATTTTATTTTGTTTTGATTATTCAATTGTACTTATCTTAACACATAAGGCTTACCTAGTCTTTCCAATTCTCCTCTCCACTGGGGCAAGGGTAGTGAGGTAGCAGCTGTGTGGTACTTAGTTAGGGCTGCAGTTAAACAATGACAGACATTTTTGGTGCCCAACATAGGGGCCGGAGGATTGAGATAAAAACAGACCTGATCAGAGCATGTTAAAACAAATTAATTATAAGCAACAATTGTATTGGTTTAGTAGTGGCTGGTCACCATGTTATTTCATTTGCATACGTGCTCACAGGCACGTTATATACCACCGCTCTCGGTGTATGTGCTCCCTATGGTAATGTTTATCCTCGGTGGAGTCTGGGCTAAAGTTATAGTTTTGTGTTTTAAGACATGATAGAGTTGCGGGACATGAACCTAATCCATGCTGGGCACTGCATCACTTCTGTACCTCGGGAGCCATCTCGTGGGAACTATTAACAAGCACACCTTTTAACTGCTCCTCGTAGAGCCAAAAGGACCTTAATTTTCTGAACATTTCTTTCATTTACCTGTTTTGCTGATTATGAGTATGACAGTTTGTGAGATGGGTTCAGGAAGCCTGAGCACGAGATCGTTCCTTGGGTGAACACTCCCAAGGGATTACATAAATCTATGTTAAGAGGTGGGCACAGATGTTTCCTGCAATAATAATACACAGATTCACTTTTCTCAACTGCTTTTTTTTTCTGGAACCTAGAAAATATTAATTAATTGATAGAAGGTCTTCCATTAAAGTACACTTCAAAAGATGCTAATCTTCCTTAATAAACTACGGAAAAATGTGCTGTTCAAACAGTAACTGAGAAGACTCAAGCAAAGAAGCATTAATATTATCTCAAGATCATATTAATGAATTTCCTCAATCAAAGAAATCCTTTGAAGGGAATTTTCTTGACCAGATAAGAGAAAGTAATTATCAGCGGGGAAAACTATATGGGTCATAGCAGATAGAATGCCAAACTCTACCAAGGAGAGACACCCTGTGGTAACAGCCTAAACTGTCATTCCTGCAGTCACCTGCAAAGAAACAGCAGAGTAAATGATATACTGTGATTAAATAATTGCTTATAAAGCCATCTCTTTGAATCATACAGGTAACAACAGCACAGATCTGATATAAAAGTGCCATATTCTGTTTCCAAAGTGCCACTTACAAATTTAAGTTCATCTTTAAGCTCACAAATCAAAGTGTTGATCTTTTCTGTGCCTTTCTCTCCCCTTGCCTGAGATGTGACTGTCCATGCAGCTAGAGCTCTCATTCTGTCACATCCTGTATTAACTCAATTCACAATAAACATTTTTGCTGTCAGTGTCAGGCACTCCCACCAGCTCACCACAATAAGGAAGTCCTACTGCTTTAAATTTGTTTTTTCGGATTTCCTGTCTTCACTTAAAAGATCCTTCAAAGCTGTTCCTCATCTGCCTTTTGTAGACACCTTTGTACACTTACATTACCACTAGATCTCTCTAATTCCCAGACAAGGGATATGAAGGAAAAATTAATCTCCTCCAACTGTAAGAACCACAAGAACTCACACCTCCAGACATCATTGCAGCTTTGGTCAGATGTGGTATAATGATGTGCCCAAGCCGTGTGTTGAGGTCTCCTCACCTCCTCTGCTATACTCTGCTGCTCCCACCCAGCAGAGGCCATGCAGCAGATGTGCCCCAAATGGCACCAAGTTAAGCTGGACCCTCTCTGCAGTTAAGAAAGCAGCTGAGCCCCAGGTGAATTGCTTAAAAGAAGTTCTACCCTCACCAGAGTAGACGTACTGCTCTGTATTTCTCTGCATGTGGTCAGAGATGCCTCTGAAATGGCAGGATCAGATAGAGTTGCTGCCAGGTAGGCAATTTTTCTAACGCAGTCAAAGGACAGTGAGGAAAACAGGGCTTTTTTTTAGAGGGTTTCTTGATGATTGTCATGTGCATTGAAAATAAACACTGACTGAGGGACTTTTCATTAGCATGTGCACGGTGCCTGGAGCTCTGGGATGGCAAGAGATAACACTTTCTTCCAACTCTAACAGACCAGCTAAACATGCACCCTCTCCCTTGCCTGGTTTTATCAAAATGGGTTTTCCATAAATAGTTTAGTCTAATGGAGATGGGAGAAGATTGTGTTCATAGAAATAGGCTCAAGGGCAAGTACATGTGCCTTTATACTGGCAGCTCCAATGGACTGAATCTCAGACTCAGCTGAAATGAGTTTGACAGCAACTAAAATACAAAGATGGAGAAAAAAACCCTCAACATTTACAGAATCTGGAAAGATTATTTAGTTAAAAGGTAACTGAAATATATATATTTAAATTTTTCCAATAAATGAGTATTTCTGAACACAAACAGCATCAAGGAGCCAATACCAGCTGTAGTTTAATAAAATCAGCTGCAAAGTATATGGCTGGGCAGCCTCTGCTGTCTCATGGTAGTGCTCCCAGGTAAGACCAGTAACACCACTGACTTAAAATCCTCTGACTCATTTAACTTAATGGCTTTGAATAAATGTCCATCATCTTCCTGTAATGCTAAAACCTCATTTGTTATTCCACTGACATTTCTCATCTTTACAGGCAACAGTTACACACTGAATACATATTTTAAACTTCCAGCTCCCTCTACTGTGCAAACATTAAAAAAAAATTAGTGTTTTGATAATTAAAACAAAGTAGGAGTAAATAGATTTAGCACAAAAATAATGTAAGGAAATACTTAAAAGTTAATTTCTTATTTCCCTTTGTGTTGAGCTTGTTCTGTACTGATATCCAGGAATCAGGCCTTGTGAACATGGTCTTGAATGACCCTACAGAACAACATCACAGTAGAGGAAGTAGCCATGCCTCACTGCATATTGCTTTTAAAACTCAGTCAGATGCACTGGACTTAAATACTGAAAGAACTTCATGCAGCATTCCCACTGTGTTGGGGCCACATCAATGTGCTTCAATATACGTGTTGCACTGGTGAATAGCTGCCTTTATTTACATCACACCAAAATATCAAACCATTGCAGAAAACAGCTCTAAAAACACTTTCAAAGACACAAAATGTTCCAAGTGGAAACAATACTTTACGGTGGTTGATGAATGAAAGTGAGAACTTTAAGAATGAGGATTGGTAGTGACCACATACAAAAGAAGAATGAGGTGTGTGATATCACGGGATGTTTTCCAAAGCAGGACACATATTGACAACGAGCACACCATTTTCCTTCCAAAACATATTCTACCACTGTGTATGTGGGCCAAGGAGGCATTAAAAGTGCTCTAGTGCCTGCCCAGAGCTTGCGTCGCCTTAAGGGAGAGCCAGGAATCAGAAGCCATGAATGGTGCAGCAAGTCTGGAGCCCTTCCAAGTACAGGCTCTTTTGCACAAGCAAGAATCCCTGGGGAAATGGAGCCAAGGGAAAAGCAGAGTTCACTCCCATTCCAAGCTTGCAGTGGGCAAGACTGACAAAGAGAGATCTACAGAATTTCAAACCACTGCAGAAAACAAAAAGAAACAAACAAACAAAAAAATAAAACTTTTATTAAGCATTAATGAAGCTTATAGTTCTGCTTCATTAGGAGCAGGTTAGCTAGTACTCAAAATAAAAATGAAAATAATGAGAAGCATAACCAAGGTTGTCTTTCAGTCTGTAAAAACTCCTACAATGAACAAGCTATAAGAATTAAAACCAATGCTGTATGGTGGATATCAGGCTCAAGAGAAACCTTTAGCCCAGTGAAGAAGGGGGTGGAAACAGAAAAGACAGAGGCTTAGTGCATGATTTCCCACAGTTCACAGCAGAAGTATTAGGAGAAAAAAAACAACTTCTGACTGGAAGATTGAAAAGGAAGAAAAAAAAAAGAAAATTACCATCTTCTTTCATTATTAATTCCAAGAGCTGACATATGTTTTTAGATGTGCGAAAAAATATTCTCAGTTCTGGAAATTAAAATACTTTCAAGTTGGGAAAAAGGTGGAGATTTACTTATCTTTCACAGAGAGAAAAATAATGCATCTTTGCTCTGGACAGACAGTTATAGCGTGGAGTCTTTATATAATAAATAAATGGACTCAACTCCTCGATGAGATGGCAATCAAAGAGGTTTATTCAAACCTGGCGCTCCTTCTTATCCCTTAAAACCATGTGACCTTGTGACCAATGAGGTTATCTATTTCGGTGCATGTCCCTTGGGCTTCCCTGCCCTTGGTGCATCCTTTGCACCCTGGACACACCTCCTACAGACAGTGGTGCTCCACTTACAGTCTTGTGATGCTATGTTCCATAAAGTTTCCACATTCTACCTCAAGATTAAAATTATGTTTAGGATTTCTTTGTAAAAATTTCTTGGGTAAAATTGAGCAATATCAGCACAACGAACTATCTTTAACCTCAGAACCTGGAAGAATGACAGAGAAGGTCATGCTGGCTAAGGAAAAACAAGGGAAGGAATCTTCACAAGGGAAGGAGCCTTCACCAGGCAAGCAGGCTTCAACAAGTGATTCTGGCATCAGAGGGTAACAAGGTTCTACAGGAGAGGAGGCTCATCGCAGGAGGGAGGCTTCACAGATACTCACCCAAAACATGGCAAGGAGGCTTCACAGGTGCACTCTGCCAACACAGAGGGACTCTAGCATCACAGACAACAGATGCTTCAAAGAGGGACTCAGGCACCACAGCGCAAGGAGGCTTGAAAGGGGAAGGAGGCTCCCACAGGGAATGGAGGCTGCTTACAGGAAGGAACCTCCAAAGGTGGACAAGGGCTTTTCCCCAGAAGGAGGCTTCAGAGATGGACTCTAGCATCACAAAGAGACTCTGAATCACAGAGTCTTTTCGGGGGACACTGGGATAACTGTGGAATAAGGCTTCACATGTGGAGGAAGACGCTCAAGAGGGTAAGTAGGCTCCACAGATCTAGTGGGTTTCTGTGCTAGGTTTTAGTAGGGGGGGGGGGGCTTCTGTTAGAAGCTGTTAGAAGCTTCCCCTGTCTGGTGGAGCCAATGCCAGCTGGCTCCAGGACGGGCTTCCTGCCTCTGGCCAAGGACAAGCCAATCAGGAGTGATAGTAATGCCTCTGGGATAACATATTTAAGAACAGAAAGCTACTGTGCAGTGAAAATTCTAGCCAGGGAAGAGCGAAGTGAGAACATAAGACCAGCAAGGCAGACACCAAGGTCAGTGCAGAAGGAATGGGAGGAGGTGCTCCAGGCACTGTAGCTGTGGCCCCTGCAGCCCTCGGTGCAGACCATGGTGAAGCAGCTGTGCCCCTGCCACCCATGGAGGACCATCAGGGTGCAGAGACCCACCTGCAGCCCATGGAAAAGCCCATGCTGGAGCAGGTGGATATCCAAGGGAGGCTGTGACCCTGTGGGAGGCCCAAGATGGAGCAGGGTCCTGCTGAGGACCTGAAGCCTGTGGCGAGAGGAGCCCACAGTGCAGCAGATTTTTCCCAGGCAGGACTTCTGGCCCCTGTGGGGGACCCATGGCGAAGCAGCTCATTTGTGAAGAAGTGACCTACGGGACAGCAGTTTGGGAAGAACTGTTGTTGGGGTGGTGTCATAGGTTTACTTGTTCTAAAAAACCAAGCAAGAATTTTTCTTTCCCCTGCCCCACTGTAAAGGAAAGATGTTGAATGGGAGAGGATGGTTTGCCTAGGGTGATTCAAAAGAACTGGCTGACAGCCCATATTCCAGGTTGATAGCCCTCAGAAGACTGGAGGGGGACCTGTGGAGTTTTTTTCTTTCTCCTCAGGAAAACGGCAAGGCACTCCACTTTTGCCTTAACTCAGGCAAGGTGTGTGTTGGAAGGCTCTGAGGTCGTTTTGTTCTCAGCCTGGTCATCTGACTGTTTTCTGGCCCCAGGTTGTCTGCGCCCTGTTCTGCCCCCAGCCCAGACCTACTCAGACTTCATTGGAGAGGTTTGACCCATCTGCAGAGGAACTTTTTGGGGAGGAGGTCGCCCTTTTCCCTCCCCCACTCCCGTGTCTGGCAGCGGTTTGTGCTCATTGACAAAGGGGGGGAAATCCCGGCCACAGCCAGCCACAGCCAGCGTGAGTTTTGTGGGAAGAACCTGCCTTCTTTCCCCTTTTCCCCTTCCCCTTCTCGGTGGGGTGGAAGATCTCCATTTTGGCTTCTCCCGCACACCAGGGCCCCGCATGGCGACCGCCAGAGCCCAACAGCGCCCCCTGCTGACCAACACCAAGCAACTGCAGGCTCTGCTCCTCCAGTGATCCAAGAGCGCCCCCTGCTGACCGTGGTTGGAATTGCACCCAAAAAAACCCAGAAAGTACTGAACTGTTTCCCTTTTTGTGGGAGACTTTTTTGGGTACAGGATAATTGTTTAGTTGTTTTTGTGTTCTTTTGTTGTTCAACCAATACACATATATCCTTTAATAAAGGGCTGTAATTTTTTTCCTTTTTTCCATACTTCCTCAGTTGGAGCCTCTTAATTTCTGATTTACAATTGCTTAGAGGAGGAATTTGGTCTTCCTCATAACTCATCTTCCTTAGCAAAACACTTCAGTCTCATTAAACTGAGACAGGTGGACTCATGCCAGACAGGTGTGTCAAGGACTGTCTCCTGTGGGAGGGACTTCACAGGAGCAGGGAAGGACTCCTCTCCCTGAGCAGCGTCAGAAAGAACAACTGACCATAATCTCCATTCCCCATCACCCTGCAATGCTGAGGGGGAGCAGGGAGAAAGTGGAAGGAAAGAGAGGTTGGAGGAAGGAGTTTTTCAGATTATTTACTTCTCACTCCTTAGCCCTGCCCCTGTTGGTAATAAATTCAATTAATATCCCCACTTTTAATTTCTTTTACCCCTGATGGTGATCATTAAGTGATCTCTCCCAGCTCTTATCTTAATTCATGCATCCTGCGTTGTTTTTTACTTCTTTTCTCTGTCCAGTTGCAGAGGGTAGTGAGAGATCGGCTGTTGTGAGTCCCTGGTGTCAACCAAGGGTAAACAAACAACTAAAGAGTAATTATAATTTCAGAAGGGAAGGAGGCCTCACAGAGGGACTCTGCAACTAAGGGAACTCAAGTATCACTGAGGAAAGAGGCTTCAAAATGGAATGAATTTTCACAGGGGAAGAATGCTTCACTAGACAAGCAGGCTTCACAGGAAGAGTGAACCTCTGCCAGAAAATCACTGCCAAGTGATTCTGGTATCACAGGAGAAATAGGTTCTATAGGAAAAGACGCTCATCACTGCAGAGAGGCTTCAGACTTACCCAAAACACGTGAAGAAACCTTCACAGATGGACTCGCACATCACAGACAAAAGATTCTCCACACAGTGACCCTGCCAACACTGAGGGACTCTGGCACCACAGATGATGGACGTTTCACATAGGCATGGAGGCACCACAGGGATAAAAGCCTTTCAAGAGCTGCGAGGCTCCCACAGACATTGGAGGCCTCTTACAGGAAGGAACCTCCACAGATGGACAAAGGCTTCTCCCTACAAGGAAGTGTCACAGACGGACTCCGGCATAACAAACACTGGAGATCAGAGGAAGGGGGCTTTTCATGGAGACTCTGCCTTCACAGTGCAAGGAGGCTTCACTAGAAAAGGCCACTCTCACAGGCACTCTGGGATGACTGAGGAATGAGACTTCACAGAGGGACAAAGATGCTCGAGACTGGACGTAGGGTCCACAGATCGATTCTGCTTTCAGGAGGGAGAGAGGTTTCACAAAGGGACTCCGGCGAATAAGAGGACTCTGACATTCCCAAGGAAAGAGGCTTACAAAGAGAAGCAATCTTTACAAGGGAAGGAGACTTCACTGGACAAGCAGGCATCACTGGACAAGTACAACCTCTGCCACTAACTCAGTGTCAAATGATTCTGTCATCACAGGAGAAGAAGCTTCTATAGGAAAGGAGGCTCGTTACTGGAAGGAGGATTCATGGGCACTCAACCAAAACACATCAAGGAGGCTTCAGTGGAGAAGGAGGTTCACAGATGGACTCTGACACCACAGAGGAAGGATACTCCACACAGGGACCCTGCCAACACTGAGGGACACTGGCATCACAGATGACAGACACTTCACACAGGGACTCAGGCACCACAGCACAAGGAGCCTTGCAAGGGGAAGGAGGTTCCCACAGGGAATGGCGGCTGCTTACAGGAAGGAACTTCCAAAGATGGACAAAGGCTTCTCCCCAGAAGGAAGCTTCAGAGATGAACATGACTGAGGCAGCACAGGGGAACGAGGCTTTCTTGGGGAAGTAGGCTGCACATGGAATGGAGACTTGTTGTTGAGCAAAAAAATCAAGCTAAGAAACAGGGTTGAAGTGTTTTCACCCACCCTGTAATAATCTGAGGGCTGCCCCAGGGCTGGGATGGGAGATGTGGGAAATTTTGGAGGTGGAAATTGCTGCCTAGGGCTTTTTTGTAATGTGGCTCTGTTTCAGGGAAACAGTGCTCACAGCATTGCAGAAGACTGCCAAGGATCGGAGCTCATCGCTCAGCACATGGATTCGGGGTTTCATACAGCCTGGTCCTTCCTGTCCACCAGAAGGCACTGAGAGTTCTTATTTAAAAGCATGTTTTAAAAATCACTCTTAAAAAGTGGAAATTGGGATTTCTGTAGCCTTGATCATGATGTTCCACATAAAATCACTGAAAATTGCATTTAATTGCTTATTTGACACAGCTTCTAGTTGCTAGAAAACCCTATACTCTAATGAGAGAGTGAGACCCGCCCCAAACACCAAGGTGCCTTCCTGGTTGGACATCTCTGACTGGAGGGGTTCAATGTCACCCTACCAGCCCCAAGAGTCGTGTGTCCCCCCCTCCCTTCACCCTCAAATTTGAGACAGAAACAGGTGGTTTAGGCCAGGTTTGAGAGGAGGTGTGTAAATGAGGTGCGGGGGCTTTGTAAACGAGTGGGCCGACCCCAGCCCCGGGGCACGGAAGGGCCGTAGTGTCCGTAAAGAAGTGGGGCGGGGTTGTGGCATTCCGTGAGGGCCGTCCCGATGCCGCCCCCGGGCAGCATCCCGGCCGCCCTTGTTGCCTGGTCCTGAGCCGTCCCGCAGCCCGGCCGTTCAGGCAGCGCCTTGTCCTGCCCGGCTCGCCTTTCTGTGAAACCACAAACGTGAGGTCCAGCCTGTTACAGCGAGTTCACCCCGTCGGCACCCATTTGTCGAGGGGTGAGAACCTTGGCGGGAAGGGGGGGGATCGGCTGCTGGTAAAATTAACTGAGGCGGGTTTTGGTACCAAATGGCCACCGTTTGATGTGTGACGGCATCGAGTGCTTCCTCGGTCCGTTAAAAATACATCAGGTGAATAAACCACAGCTTGTTGCTCTTCCAATTCTTTTCTAGTTTTCATTTGCCACTCACAGCTCAATTTCACACTTATTTAGTAATTACATCGTGTTTTGGTTTTGCCTTTTTGCACTGATGACTTAGGGCATTGGATTTGGTTTCTGTGGATTTGGTATTTGTGGGCTCCGGAGTTATTTCATAATTCAAACCCAGTGAACAAGCTCTCCTTTTAATGTGTTTTTCCCTCCATTGGCTGTGGTAATCCCATTTATCCCACCTGCCTTGGTGTCATTTCAGTATCTAAATGTCTGAATGTGCTTTTTGTCACCATAAACTTTATTTTGTTGAAGAGCAGTAGTTGAACGTGTTAAAGGTTAATTTGACCCAAAGGGAAACTAAAGTGCAGGAGCCTCTGGAGTTTGATCCCCCCCCCCTCCAGGTTCAGTGCAACAGGACTCAATATCGATGTGGACTCATCCTGTGTGACAGAAGTCGTACTCTTAAACAGGGTTGCTGTGGCACACATGGGAGCTGCCTGTGCCACGTTCAGGTGCCGTGCTGAGGAACACCCCACTAGTTCTGTTGTGCTCAGGGTGACTGTTGTAATCATGGCATTTTGGGGCTGTTTCCTCATCCCCTGACATCTGTGGTAACTCTTTGTTTACATCTATTTTGCTTTTTAGCTGTGAATTCTTTGCATTTAAACTAATAGTGCTGATTTTTTGTTTTATTATTGCTACTATTGTTTATTATTCCACTTTCTATTCTGCTCATTAATCCTAGAGCGAGAGATAAGGTGACAGGATACTTCTACCCTGATGGTTATCCAACA